ACAAAAAATTGGAAAACTCTTCTGCATCACTTCCCCATCTTTTACTTATATGTGTAAGCGTAGTTTATTTAAACATTTTTAAAAGGTTTCAGGGATTTTGCACTGCAATTTTTTTACGACACACACTCTGATTTAAATACAATTTGGGACTTTTTTTTTCTGAAAATGTTAAAGCAGTGTTAATAGGCCATAATTAAACTGATTATTTCCTCAGCCTTCAGTCACATGCATTTTTTAAAGCTGCAGTATTCTATTGAAGAATAAAATGTTCCTGTAAAAGGATTTTTATAGCAAAATATTACCTGCTACTGTTCTCAGAGGGCTGCTACTGTTGTCGATAATCCCTTCCTCTTCAATCCATCATCTGCAAAATAAACACAGGCCACCCCCACCTGTGTCTGTCTGAGAGGGGTGAGGGCCCGTTAACCTGCGCTCACAGGCCACCGGTGAGGGCTGCCGACTCCCCGCCTCTCTGTTTAGATTATTTCCACGGAGGCGGGTGACTCTCTTGTGTCACTGATAAGAGCGCAGTAGGGTGGTGGCAAGAGGGTCAAACCACAAGGGGAATAGAAACTGAGGAAAACAGCTGAAAAAAAAAAATCTTTATCCCCTAGAAAAAGTAGTTTTCCCCCAAACTTCTTCACCATGGCGCAAGGCTATTACACTGATAGAAATTCTTCTCCCTCCTCGACAGTCTGGCCCTGAGTACGCAAGGGGCCAGAGTCTTAGCCACATCTCAAGCTAATTTACAAAGATCCCGAATTATTCTCTTATCTTGGGCTTTAAAGGTTGTAAGGTTGATTAACAAGGCTCTGTCCTGTTTATCAGTTTGGGGCTTGGTGTGGAAAATAGCCTGCGATAAGTGCACAGACCATTAAACATTCTATTTCCCCTAATATTTGTCGGCAACCATCTGCTTAACTGATCTCCCTTCACTTTAATTAAAAGGGATTCCCGTCTTGTTGGGGTCATTATGTGCTGGCGGACGCCAGGAGAGGGGTTTGTGATGAGTTCAGCGTTCCCTCTGTCCCTGGGTTGCCAGAGGGCTTTTTTTTCATCCTCCCTTCCAGCTTCTTCAGAGTTAACCCCTTCCTGTCCTGCTGCACTTCCACCTTGTTTTGCGGCGGGTGAAGTAAACTAAAGAGTTAGTAAGTCCAACCGTTTCTAAAAGAGATGCAATGTGTGCTGGTGCAAACTTTTCTCTTCACTAGGCAGTGTGTAGATATTCACACTATCCCCCCCCAACTCCGGGGCATGAGACTCTGGCTGTAATGGTTTGATTTGCCCAACACTAGTTGGATCGATGCGGCTGTTTACAGTTTCTCCCTCTCTCATCCCTTTTGTCTTTTTTCTAATTTAGTGTTCCCAAACCATGGACAGGGGTCTGAGTCTGTCTGCTGTGCTTGCATCTTCGCCCTCCTCCCCACTCTCCATCACTGTCCATTGATGTTTTTCCCCTCTCTTTCTTTCCTCCTCTTCCTCTCTCCTTCCTTGGTTGGTCTTGGAAAAAGAGCTGCATGCCTCCACACTTCTGGACAAGACTGATGGCTTGTCAATAGCATTAGCCAGCATTGCAGGCCTCACTGGTGTAGAACCAAATCAATATGGCCCAGTAAAAAGTCTTATATGTGTATGCGTTCCATCCCAGCCAAGGCTCATGTTACCACAGATGAGTTTTTATAAGAATTCAGAAGTGACCATCTATTTTATTCCATTTAATCCCACATTTCCTCAGCAATGCACTAACATGTATAAGTGCTGTTGCTCAGGGTCAACCATCTCTTTTAGTATAATTATGTATTTCACCCTAAAAAAGATGAATGCCTCTGTTCATTGTTACAATAAATGTGGATATTTAAATGTAGAAGCTTGAGGATGAAGCTCTGAATTATAAAATCTTTCTGCTCTTTCCCCTAAAATCTGGTAATTTACCTTCTAATTATAGTGTGCAATTACAATCAATTTGTCCTCAATGAAAATTGATTTTTGCTTTCAGTGTCGTGGCGCTGGTGGATATTGTGTGGGTATATTTCTGCGAGAGTGTCAGAAACACTTTTGTTGGACATAGATTTCACATGTGGGAAGAAGCAAAAATCAGAACTCAAGAATTCTTTTTATCTAGCTTTCCTATTTTTGCTTTTCTTAAAGACTCTCAATATTCACCAATCACAGAATATGTTATACAGAAACACATACTGATCTTCCTCAGCCTTGAGAAATTCGAACAGTTTAATATTGCAGTTTCTGGTCCTTTTTCACATGGCCTTCACTGACCGATATCTACTATTGATACGGCTTATAAAAATACATTATTTCAGAAGGTGAAGTGTTGCTTTAAATCACATAGACAATGAATGCTAAAGGTGGGGTAGGTAATTTTGGAGAAACCAACTCGAGTGCGCTAAAATATGAAAATACACAGCCGGAAAAAATCTGCCACTTCCTTACAAAGCCCCTTCTCCAACACACACGATCGCGCACATGACCAATGAGGGCACGAGATAAGTTTGTGCCAAGATGGAAGGCTGACAGGCAGGTAGGCCATCCAGTTATTTTTAGCCGGGCCGGCTCAGATGATTGGTCGTGCTTTTTACAGTACTACGGCTTCCACAGATTAATTTTTTTTATGGATTTTTTGTCAAAGCACTTAAGATATTCATTGCTATCGGGATGTTAAGAGCATTCCATGGAATATAACAAAAAGTGTATCTCGAGCCGGTTTCTCAAACTTACCTACCCCACCTTTAAGTAGCTGACTGGTCCATTGTTTTTAATGTTATTTTAAACATTTCCTTTAATTGTAACTATTTGGAAAAGTCAGGAATGGTTGATAGCCTCTTTTTAACTAGCAGAGTGTCTCGCCAGAACATTATCAGTCTTCAGATATTGCACCTAAAATGCATAGCGAGTCTTTTGTCTTTATTTACTTTAATAGCCTTAGCTAATATCTGTAGAAACTGTCTATTGCTCTACTTGATCAGACAATGACTGCAGTCACTTTGCACACTGACGGTTTTCTGTGGTTTACAGTCTTAGAGAGTTGCGTGGTTTATCTGTGTCATAGTGTTAACATTATGACTTTACAGCTTGATTCTTATTCAGCCACCTATTGCAGGACATTGTTGTCTCTGCTTTGAAAATGGTTCTTTCTGACTGCAATGTCTTGAAAAGATATCCAAGACTGTTAAACTGCCCATGTGCACTTTTGTCTTCCTTTGAATTCCTTGGCTAGCCGCTTACATTTTATATGAAGGTGACTGAGGTAGTGATTTGTCTTCTTTCTCTAAGAGGTACTGGCTTGCACAGGTTTATACTGCTATAATAATAATGTTATAATAATATCTGATATCTAATTATAAATCAACCATACTTAACTCTGTTGAAATGTTCATCCCATTTGGATTTGGATTTGGAAACCTATTTATGATAACATTTAAACTCAAGACATTGTTGACTGACACTGGCTCTTCTCTTCTCTGAAGGTCAGGCAGATGGACTGATGGACATCCTTGCGCTGTCAACGTCTCCACTCGACCCCCCCCCCCCCCCCAGTACCCCCCTTTCCAGTTCAGACACAGCAAAGCTCTCGCTGTCTGTCTGTCTGTGTCTCTGTGTGTCTGTGTGTCTGTGTGTCTGTCTGTGTTCTCCTACAGCTTAGCTCCGCTTCTCAAAGGTCAGCCCAGGGCCAGTGTGTTTGTCAGGCCAATCGATGACCTGCCACCGTCAGAAACACACTCAGTTTGGTAGCGGGGGGGGGGGGGGGGGGGGGGTCAGCCTGGTGGCGGACAGCGGCCCTCCAACTCCCCTGTGGGAGATTGTGGCCAAGAAAGGAAGTGTGTTTTTGTGTGTGTGTTTAAGATGGTTGAGGGTATCTGTGAAAAGTGGGGGGTGTATCTTTTACTAACCCTGCATATAATCAATACCATCCAGCGCTATTATTCTGATCGTGTGTGTGTGTGTGTGTGTGTGTGTGTGTGTGTGTGTGTGTGTGTGTGTGTGTGTGTGTGTGTGTGTGTGTGTGTGTGTGTGTGTGTGTGTGTGTGTGTGTGTGTGTGTGTGTGTGTGTGTGTGTGTGTGTGTGTGTGTGTGTGTGTGTGTTGTGCAGTTATCAACAATGACAGGGGATCAAGGAACTGGTGTGTGACAAAGACGAATGGTGTCTAATTCAAGGTCAATATGGCCTGTGTCACTCCTTCACTTTCACTGAGGGGAGGGGGGGGGGGGGGGGGGGGGGCATTATGTTCCTGTTGGTTACCAGAGCAAACATGACATCCCTGCTGGAGCTCATATCAATTTGTAATTTGACCCCCAGTCAAAGCAAATGATGTCAGCACAGGTCGCTTTTTCCAAATGACCCTGCATTTGTCTGTTGTCGTTGTCAATTTCTGTCTTCACTGTCAGAGTTGTTTTGTTAAGCAGTTTTTTTCTGTTTGGCTAATATTCATAAATGTTAATATTTTTCATTTCATGTGGTGCGTAAACAAAGATATTGATGGTTTGCTAATGCTCAAAGCTTTCATAAGAGGGATACAAAAAGCTGTTTCATTTCTGTATATTAAGTAAGTGCATTTTCTATACATTATTCCTTGAAACGTAGTTCCTTCACAAGGGCATTTAATTTAATTTCAGCATATGATCAGACAAAGGTGCTGTATGTCCTTTGTCTCCCTCCTCCAGTGTGACCATCTTACTAATTTGCTAAGACCAGCAGCACCTTCTCCTCATGCCAGTACATCTTTTAATAACTCTATTAATCTAATCGTCCACTAATTGGTCAAGATAGCCTTTTCCCCAGTGATTTTTATCACGGAGCAATTAAGAGCCCAGTAAAACCTGCTGAAATCACAGTGTCTTGTTAAAACGGCTTGATTGACACATTGTTTCGGGGCTCTGCACTTTTCATTCTACATGATAGAAAAGGTTATTATTATTATTATTATAAGCTACTTTTATACAATTAAGAATAACAGAATGTGTAGAAAAACACAATGACAACTTGCCAGTGACTGATAAATCTTTAATATAAAAATTGTACAAGAATTCTGATACAAATTACAAGAGGTATTTGGACAAAATATGAATACAATTCCATTTACATCCCAAAACCCTTATGCATTTTATGCAAAAACCATAGACAGTTATGATACAGAAACAAATACAAGAAAGGCAAAAAAAGAAAGAAAAGAAAGAAACAAGTCTTTTTAAAAAGAGGACCATTTTTCTCCTCCTCACTGCAAATGGGAAACACCTGTTTAGGTAACATACAGTATTCATGAGGCTTCCAAATCACCCTTTTGACACCAAAGTAACGTAAGCTCCTCTGCTCTGTTCGTTGTTTGCAGTGCGACGATGTAGCCATGCAACGCTGTCGAGTGCCCGTGCCAGAACACGGGCTTTTTAAAGAAACAAATGCATGTGATACAGAAAAAAGTGAAATAAAAAAAAAAATCGAAATTCACCAGCTCTTCAAGCTTATTTATATTTAAGACTGTAAAATATAATTGGCACAATGGAAAACATGAAATGAATTAATTCTTGACATTTCACAGGTTCCAGTTCAAATTAACGAGGGTATTTTTCGAGAACACATGAGACTGAAGCATCTACTGTATACAAATATGTGTGTATTTTTCTACTATCTGCATATTTCTTATGGTGTCCTTTTAAACATTTGAATCCCACTTTGTTCCATGAGCTACATTAACATGACATGTGGCGTCCCCTCTCATCCACGATGTGAAGTGAACAGAACGGACAGTGATGAACAGGTCAGCCGTTTGCCATGCCCTTCTCCCCGTGTGCTATGTAGAATTACAGAATAATTGATGCCCGACGCTCTTCTAATCAAATATTAAAGATTCACTCCAGTGGTCGCAGCCAACGAGGCGCTCTTAGTGACGTGTTCCTGCGGATCCACAGCCCGGTCACTAGCTAGCAGAAAGCACCTGGGCCCATGTGGTTGGGGAAGTAAAAGAGGGAGACAAAGATTGGATAGGGGGGGCCTTTCTCAGAGGAGAGGGGGAAATTGGTGGTCATTTCTCAGAGGAGAGGAAAGTGTAGGGGGAGAGGGGTGGAGATGTGAGGGGTGGCGATCGCTCTCCAGCAGGCAATCTAGAAAAAGCTGGCGAAGACTCCCGGGGAGTCCTGGCCCCGCTGCTCGCTCCTCTCTTTCTCCCCTGCCTTGTTAAGTGACTGCCGCAAGGCTACTGCTAGACCACTTTCTAAGCCCACTCCCTTTACGCCATCTCTCCAGTCTGTTTCCCTGGCGATGCCGGACAGTGGTTTGTTTTTCAGATCTGTTGCCAGCCTTTTGCCGCTCTGAGCTTCGCAGCTTGGCATCACCATCACCATGCAGGACTCAGAAGGAGCCCGTAGGAGGTGGGAGAAGGGTGTTGGTGAGGGAATATCTTGCCTGTCTTTCCGGGCACACACAAGTACATACATGTAGACAGAGGTCATGCACTGCGGCTGCTGCTTGAGAAATAGACTGCTAGGAACAGGGCAGAAGTGTAGTGGAAAATGTGTTTTTGTCAGATCAAAAATAACTGAGGTTATTTGGGCAGTGCACATTTATCTTAAGTTTACCTTTGTTGGGTATGTACAGCTCAAATAATTCTACAAAGTTAAAATCAATCTGTAAGCTTGCTGGCGTTCTGGATATTTTTTTCTCAATTAAACAGTTTTGGTCAAATGTCTCAATTATTAGCTGTTGGAAATGTAAAATGAAATAATAATAAGAGCTTTGGATTTTCTATGCCTGACTGCTAGCCCCCATCATTCTCCATAATGGAGTATTAGCCTTCTATGTAGTGGCAGCAGCTATAATGTTAATGCTAGATGGAGAGTTTAATTTCCTGTGGTGAGAACACACTCTATATTTCTCTGACCCTGTCTCCTCCATCACTAGAGGTTAACAAGTCATCTAGTTCTTGTCATCTTTCTGGCCTGTAAGTAGAAAGCATATGTGTGTGTGCGCCACTCTCCTCTGTGTGCATGTGTGTGTGTTTTAGTATGGTTGTGTGTTAGAGAGACAGCTGTCAGCAGGGTTCCTCGAATAGCACTTTTTTATTTCTGCCAGAGCGAGGGCCGGGGGGATTGAATGAGTGAATGAGGCAGCGAGCGCCTCAGTGAAACCCACTCCTGGGAAAAGGCAGGGGTTCCTGTACTCAATTTTCCCTTCACTTGGGATAAACAGGCAATTACCCATCCCTTTTTCCTATGCCATGGCCGTCCGGTGAACTTAAGCATACACTATTAGTGTGTGTCCCTGTAGGACCTGCGCTGTGGGGTGTGGAGGTGGTAAGTGAGTGGCGGGTTGAAGAAATGGGTAAGGCGGTTGTTAAATGACTGCGCTCTGACAGACAAAGAGGAAAAAAAAGAATAAGAGAGAAATAGAACTAAATTATCAGCGACCCTGAATAAGAATAAGCACACATAGATAGTGAATAGATGAATTGAATCCAACTAAATTGAATGGGTCGAATTGAATTGTTCAGTCTTTTCTCTTCTTTTTCTCTTTCTGTCAGTGTCACAGTCTTGTCAGCAACCTTGGAGTCTGGCAGTGTAACGAAGTGACAAGTGAGTTATTAGACAGAAGAAGCTGGAATGGCAGGGACGCCTCCAGGTAACGGAGAAGCAGCACATTTTTAATGATCGTTGCTGTCATCCTTTTCCTCCCTAGTCAGCCTTCCACCTCCGCAACCTTTCCATCAGCCTCAGCTCTCTGTCTCGCTCTCTTTATCTCTGAGAAGAGGGGACTGGAAACTGCATGTGTCATATAGGTGGAGTCTTAAAAAAAAAAGCATGAAATATCTCGTCAGAATAGGTCATGTCTATATTGTAAAAATGGCTTGAGTATGAAACAAGTGGAACTCAACACTGTTATGGATGTAAGGTGAATACTGTACAGCCCACCGTATAACACTGCATATGTCCCCCTCTGTGTGTAGCACCAGTCAAGTAAGAGAAGATCTCCTATAGTAACACATGGCATCGCTAATACACTGATAAACAAACTGAGGAACAATCTCTATTTTTTTGTCTTTTTACAAAAAATATTCTTTAAACCAACAAAAAAAAAAACTCCATGAAGGTACATGACCAACCAATAAATACCCCTTCCCTTGGCTACTTTGCCCAGTTACTGGAAACAATTTGTACCGTAAGACAGTCATGGACATGTTAAAAATGGCAACATTTTTCATAGAGTACATTTGTAGCCGACACTCAGCAATGGAAACCGATACCGAAAATATCACAGCAAAAGATTTTAAGACTCAAGTGCATCATATGAATCCAATGGGGCATGATTTAAGTACACACTCTCACACTGAAAGAGCTCTTCTGAAGCAATCACTTTTGATTTGGTCACAGTTGAATGACTATTTTCATCTTTTTTCTTCAAATCTATGGGACCGTCATATTTCACTAAGATGCCTTTTGTAAAAACAAACGTAAGTTCTTGCATTGATAACTTTGTTGGAGAATGTCACAATAATGTCATGCTTTATACACAGTTACACCTCTGAAGTAATTAGTGTGACCATTACTGGCAACCATACACACATTGAACAGAGAGGAGAGACTTTATCAATATTTAACTTTGTGTTTGTGGATCAGCAGTTTATAGTCATTCACGCTTGGATTTGTTTTGAGGCAAGGTACTTCGGAGACGCTCTGAATTCGTTTTTTTTTTTAGCAATGGGGGAAGATTTTGTTCAAGGAGACAAGTTGTTTTCTGTTGTGAAACTGTGTTTGAGCACGTGCAAAAAGAAACTGGCATATTACGTTAAAGGTATTATTTACCTTGGCACTGTAGCCATCAATGACCCCGAACAACACTTAAACTCACCATTGCAAAAGTCCTCATTATAATAATATTACACATCCCCTTGTATAGATGCAAAGTGCAAAAACTGAATTGGTATACTAAAGCTCATAAACAAAACAGACAAAATAAAAAAATAAAACAATAGAAATACAGAGAATGATATCAGTGTAGGAGCCAAAAAAAGCATGCCGGCAACCTCTGAATATCTAACAAGTAGATAAAACAAGTCACATGATATTCTTTTTTTCCTAGGACTCAGTTAAAACGTGTCGTTGAAGCTAACATAAATGAGTCAAGCTAGTAAGATGCTACCTCTTTCTTGCCTAAAGCTGGAAGTATTGTACTGGACTGTAACATAAAACCATAACGAGAGAGAAAAAAGAAGCAAACAACCATCAACACAACTCTTTACACCAAAAGCCTCGTGGGACATTATTTACAAATGAAGCTGTCATGCTTTTTGTAAGGGGGTTCATTTAAAAGCTATCATTACACAAATACAACAAGAAGATTTTCTTTTTTTTCAATACTATCATTTCTGCAGGCAAAGTCACAAATAAGAGTTTGAATAGATTCTTTGGAGACGGACAAAAAAAGTTGGGAGGAGTCTCAAATGAAAGATGGAGGGGCTTATGAATAAAAACACAAGTGGAGTTTTGTTATAAAGCAAACTCCATGCGCGAGAGCGTCATCCTGTTCTTCCAAAGAAGGAAAAGTCAAAGGTCACGATAATAAACTGTATTTAGAGTCGATGCATTTTTATAGAGGGACATAGAAATGTCTTTCAATGACTGAATGACGGGCAGGAGGCATACAGGCATTTAGCCTGTATTTGATGGCCCTGGGCTGGGATTAAGAGCTCATTTGAGGAGGAATAAGGATGAGGAATGAAGGGAGGAGCGGGCCGACTGACAGCGGGGTCAAGTAGCAAGTCATTATTTAGTCTGTTATCGTGGAGAAGGGCATGTTTTTATGGAAGGTTGGGGTTCTGAGAGTGTCGGTTACGGCTGCGCACAGAGCTGAACACCATGTTGCAACCGGGGATTTTGCACTTATGCATCTCGCGCAGGTGCACAGTCTTGTAGTGCACACGCAGGGTTCCTTTGTTGCTGTACATTTTATGGCAGATGTTGCAGAGGATCCCTCCGCTGCCACCGTGACTGCCACCGTGGCTGCCCCCGTGACTGCCCCCGTGACTGCCCCCGTGACTGCCCCCGTGACTGCCCCCGTGACTGCCCCCGCTAGACGAAAAGAGGAATGGTGAGGAGGTCGGTTCCAACCCCTCACCTTGTCCTTCTCCTCTTAGTTCTACAGTCTCGTCCAGATGCCTTCCTTCAGCCCGCCCCTCGGCATGCTGGGAGCAGTCCTCCCCCTCACTGTTGCCCTCCTCCTCATCCTCTACCCCCTCCTCCTCTACCCCCTCCTCCTCCTCCAGGTCATCCAATAGGATGCCTTCATCGCTGCCCTCGTCTGACTCATGTGAGGAGTGGACACTGCTGCTGGACTGAACGCTGGATGTGGTGCTCAGGTCCAACACCATGTAGTCGTCTGGCTGGCCCCGGGAGAAGCCGTTGCTGTGGTGATTTTTCAGGTTATGGTTGAGAGTGTGGTGGGGATACTCGCTGCTCATCAGGGAACGGGCATTGTGGTTCAGGCCAGTGGGCCGAAGGCTGCCGCCTCCGATGCCCATCCTGGCATACGGGTCCATGCCCATGTGATGCCCGGCGTAGATCTTAGCCAGAAACTCGGCGCGCAGGTCCTTGGGCAGTGGCGGGTGTTGGGGGTCCAGGACAATGTCGTCCAGCTCTTTGGTCAGCAGTTTGCGGTGCAGGTTGATGTTGGAGCTGTGCCTGTGGGGAGACAGTCAGAGTTGTACATCAGAACGCTGCATGTGTATAGGGAATGTAAATAACCTATCAAACACAAAACAGCAAGTGTTGAAACACATGTATTTGCACTTAATTTACTATGATAATGTCAACTGTTCTTACTTCTGTGAAATGCTAACGCGCTACAAATATTCAAATATTTAGGGACCATTTGTAGTTATTGTTACTTCCAGTCAAGGCACACAGAAACTCATCCTGCACCTCTCCTGAAGAAAAAGCTCTAAGAACACAGAGAGAGAGAGAGAGAGAGCATCCTGCAAGTGTTTACCACTGTCAGCATGTCTGCACTGCACAGCCCTCAAATCCAATAGACTCTGACTCAATTAAATACTCCACCATATTGAATGGGAGTTTATCAATTGATTCGAGCTGTGGTAATGTGATAATCGAGGGGAACTGGATAGCATATTAGCACTAGGCCCTGACAGCATTATCGCATTCGTTCCCTATTGGAGGTGGCTTAATCGAGCACCTCAATGAACATGTCTTTATGTAGCCCTGGATTTAATTAAGATGGGCATTTTTTCCCCATACACAAGAACTGTATCGCACAGTGTGCTACAGCTGATGAAAGAAACCAAGTAACAAGTGCCATGCTTTAAGCCAATAGACAATTAGTTAGGATTTCAGTTAGCAAACAAAAGCCATGCAACAGGATGCAAGGTGAAACACCAAATTAAATGCTTTTACGCTCCAATTTCACAGATGCCAAGACGGACTAAGAAAACAGGGACCCACTGCACACATTTCACAATAACACTGCATAACACAGAACAAAAACGTAAGCAACTATTGACCGGTGTCAGGTATGAAACACAGAAAGCCCACCCCTCTTATATACGTATACATCAAATAAGAACAAATATGCAAATGCCTTTTAATGTGAGGGGTTTCCATGCAGGGGGTTCAGTGTAAAAAAAAAAAAACGTAAAAAAGAAAAAGAAAAGGTTCATCCTGAGCAGGACGGGCAAAAATGGAGTCACAATGGATAGTAGAGCTTACCAGCAGTGGCAGGGTTGATGCAGTCAAAAAGGGTCCCTTTCCTTTAATTATTTACTTCCCTATCCGACAATGTCCTGAAAGGTAAAAATACATTCATTTGAGGGACCCTTTTCTGTGAACCAGGCAACCAGGAGCCCGTCCACTCAAGCATCGTCAGCATTGGGGAGAGAGAGAGCGTGGCAAATCGATTGGCCGTGGCTGTCACTGCATGTGTGTGTGCTTTGGTCTGTTTGTGTGTGTGTACGTGTGAAAAACAGAAATTTACTACGTCCATATAGCTGGACTTCGATCAAAAAGACTATATAAATCCTTTGTTCTTTTTTATCCTTTGATAGTACAGTTGCACCCATATGGTGTTAGCTTATGGCCAAAATATGGGAGTCATGATTCAAAGTTTGTGGCGCTGTACGCTTGTCAAGTCGAACACATGTGTGGACGCTCGGCTGGGAGAGTGCTTTAAAACAGTCTGAAATATGCCGTGATCAGTATTAAGGGAAATGTGCACAATGTCTGCAGGGATACCAAACAGGCATTGATGTGAAGTGGGGCCGCAGATTTGCTCAGTTAATACTGAAGCTCAGGATGCTGTTGATGATGCTCAGGTAGGCAGGTCCTTTGCAACATGTCTCCATCTCTTTAACAACACCTTCTCACTGCTAATAAGCTCTAAGTTAAACCATGGCTATCTCAGTTTTAGATATTAATGTCAAACATGCTAAATATCATGCAGTAAGTAGTCTGCGCTATAGCTACAGTAGCCATTTTAAATACTCAGAAATGCACACCACATTGTTAGAATTGCACAATATCCAAATAACAAATATTCACATTTAGTACAATCTTTTAACCTACTATACAGATATATGAAAAGAAAAAAAAATGGAAGAAAAAGGCACTTTATGATATACAATTTGTAACCATTTGGAAATAATTTAATCTCAGGAGAGAAAGAGTGGAGTTTATGATCATTTGCATACATATGATTATTAACTTTTGAGTTGGCAATGCCTCCATGCCCTAAATAATAAGAATAAGTCAGCTAAATCCACACACAGTGGGCATAATGCACTTATCCCTTCATTTATCAGATTTAGACTTTCTGCCCCATTTCCCACACCCCTCCGCCTCCATTACTCCACTTCAGTACGCTCTATCTTTCCTCCCCCAAACCCAACTCCTTAGTGCCCCCTCTTCCTCCCTCTCTGCCTCCCTGTTGGCCAGTAATGTGGCTGGCAAACCAATTTGACAGTCTCATCTTTGCCCAAAAGATGGGGGAGGCCTCCAGAGAGCCCATTTTTGACTGTGCAGAGGAGGAAGAGCGAGAGTGTGCCTGTCCCAGCCGGCGTTAATCATCTTTAGGTTCATCTGATGGCCCTTGCCCTTGTTTTTGTGTCAGCGTGTGTGTGTGTGTGTATTGGATCTCTAATGTGTAAATGAGATGGAAGGCTGAGCGGTGTTAAACTGACTTTCTTTGTCTTTCCTGTCATTTGGGTTGTGTTATGAGGTTTTAGGTGTGAGTGGGAGGACAAGAGTTTAGGAACATGTATCACTCTGTCACTATTGTATCTGCTTTGCATTGCTTCAGTCTGTACAACACCCTAGGCTTCAAACAATGGTTTGAGGGCTCACAAAGAGTACATTAAATATACATTAATAATCATGTACTAGAATTCAATTGATGACAGCCTACTTATATGGGCGCATATATATATATTTTGTATCTAAGAATAAAACAAATCCTCTTTAAAAAAACATCATAAGGAAACTTTTGTTTAAAGGCATGCAATCTCTTTTCCCCCCCGTATTTTAATCAGCAGATATTTTGATCTGGGGTGAGTGGCTTTTGCTAACATATTCTCTCTATGAGCAGCATGCCCTTTGTTTATAAGAGACAAACAGAGAGCTAATTGTGAAGCAGCGGAGCCGCGACCACATGCCGTGAGGGGACCGAGGGAGAGGGAGGGAGACAGAGAGAGGAAGGAGAGGGGAGGAAAGAGACTCTCCAACATAATTAACCTTCACTCTCTCCGTTTGCAGTGGCCCATGCAGGGACCATGGGGCTGCGCGCGGCTGCACCACGGGAATGTGCAAGAGAGAGGACACCTACTTTCTCTAGCGAAAGAGGAGCAAGTTAAAATGTTGGTAGGTCAGAAAAGGAAGCGGGATGGGCTGATACAAACGAAATAAGTAAGGCGAGCCTTGTCAACGGTTTAAAAAAAATATGATTAATGATGCCAATAATGGTGATGATTACGGGTACGCGCGTCTTTCCAGCCGTTAATCATGCTGCTTCTTCACTTCTGCCGACGCTGCTCGCTCCCTACAATAAATATGCAATCATTTACCTCCGTGCAGCAGGCGGCCAGGAGGCTTGGAGAAAACACCCCACTGTAAAACTACACACACACACTCCGATGTTGGCCTCTGTTTTACACTCAAAAACACACACATTACATGCCTGCTCAAGGGCACACTAAATTATCCTTTCCCCCGCATTCCTGAGTACAGTATGCATGTGCACTAATGTTTGTGTGTGTAATTCTCCAGTCTTATTAATAGGGCAGGGATCCAAAGTGAACAAACACTAGCGATACTTTCCTCCGTGGCAGCACATTTACAGTGTGTCCTACTCTGACAATGTCATTGGTTGTTTTTCTAAGAAGATCAAATGACCTGTCTTCCTTTTTCTTTCTTCCCTTTGATACTGGAGCTTTTGATGCTTGTGTCTGATGGTGTGTTTACGTGCCTTTGGCTTTTCACTCGGTCAATGGACTAATCAGATACGCAGAGGTACTTGGACTTTCCTTTAGCTGGATGTTAACAGCTGTGTTTCTGGGGGTGTTGAGAAGGCAGGGCTGCATATTATGATTCAGCTTTAGCATATATATCGTTCAGCTGCAAAAACACACGACCACTGGTTTACTTTCCTCATATAAAGAAATGCTGTGGCTATTTTTCTAATGGTTTTAAAAATGTAACCTCAGTATTTTGTTTCTGAACCACCACGCAAATTATGTATTAATAATGTCTGCTAACACTGTTCACAAAACAATCAAATCAGGTTAAATCATTTAGTCTGATTTGACTTAAATGCAAGAATAAACATTTTAAACATGTTTTTATGCAAATATTGATGTTTATGCAATTTTAATTTGCTCTGAGAAAATTCTCATTTGATATACAGCGTAATTCATTATATTCCCACTTTAATGCCACCATTACACTCTTACACTATGTCATTAGAGGATTATCCAGGGACCAATTTTGATGAGAGCCCAGTTTGTGTATTTACTCGTCAAAGCCCCAGGATTCCTATAGCTCCGTAATTCCCCTTCTCTCTGTTGTTTCTGCTCCCTGTTTGAACCAGCAGCAAAGTAATTTGTCCCATATGCCATCAGGAATTTATCCCTCACAGAAAACGTATGAAAACAATAGTGTGCTTAGGGCTCACCTACCCAGAGCAATACTGTTCACCCCCTGGCTCAAAGACGCATTATTCTCACAGCAGCAATTGTCCCTCCTTGCTACAAACGTATCTCTATCTCCCATATGTTCTGCCACTTTATTAGTTTGAGTTTTATTTACATGCTGAAATGATGTCACACGCACATCAGGGGCTGACACAGGAAGAGAGCGAGTAGAAAGAGTGTCGATGTGTTTTCTCTCTGCTATATGGTTTAATCTTTGAACCCTCTCTGCCTGACTAACACACTTCCATCCTTTGATATCAAATGCCTGGCTGCATATTTATGAAAATAAACCTCCAAACCATCTTTTCCCCTTTTTCTTTTCTAGCTATTATACTTCACTTATTTCTGTTGTCGCCTCATTTAGTTCAGTGAAGTTTCCCTTTGCCATTGTTAGTTCATGACAGTATGAATAGACTAAATTGCATAACTGACAAACGAACGCGAGCAGTGGGATTATACTTAACAGTATCCACCTTGGCATTAATAAAAACCTGCACAATATCTGATTAAGAATTGTGCTTTTTCCAAACTGTTAACGTTACCTATACATATACTATGGATCTCTCTTCTTGCTATTTAATAGTTCAGATAAGGGACTTAATTGTATATATCTATCAAGTGTTTTACAGCATTAAGAGAGTAATTACAAAGAGATAAGGTGTAAAGAACAGCAAATCGTTTTCTCTGTTATCTGTGTGTACGTGTGTTTGCATCTGTGTGTGTGGATGTATATGTTACACAACAGGCCTTAGGCGTTCTCTTTCCCTATAGCCTTGTCAAATGAGGGTAGCTAACACACTCTCCGGTGGCAGTACACCACTCTGAGGCAATACTTTTTATAATATGATTGCTGCTGTCGGCACAGCTGCTTCAGGTGAGCAGCTGAGTTCACCTTCTCCAAAGCTAACTTGTCTCCCCCCCCCCCTCCATTCCTCTCCCTCATCCATTTAACTAGAGTCACAGAATCACCTGCTCTATATCCATGCTGCTAATGAACAAACAGTTGTAGGAACAGATGCCACCAACACAACAACATGAATAAAAGGTTCAGAAACCAAGTAGTGTGTTTGGGTGTAGGGGGTCAGCAGTGGTGGAGGAAGAGAAGATGAGGGGCAAGAAAAACACTGAGGAGAATTATAAAGCTCCCTCTGGAAAGATTTGTTTCCCAATTGGAATCATGCAGTATGTTCACCCGTATTTAAATAACAGTATTTGTCACAGAAGTTAAATCCTTTTGTATATTTTCTATCTCCATTAAATAACAGAATGAGTAAGGTTGTTATGTAGAACGGCTCAGTGCTATTAAAAAAATAGAGAGTGGGAGCATGAGAGGTGTTACGCTTGTTAGAAGTGTTGTGAGAGTTCGGAGAATTTACGATTTGTTTCAAATGTCCCTGTGCTTGTTGTTTACGGGAATATCATTTTCTGTCACTTAACCTGAAATATGATTTCACACCCAGCTGTTATTTTGATATCTATTTATCTGTTAACAGCCATTTTTTCAATGGTATTACAAAAGGATTAGAAAAGGTCGGCCCATTGAACATGTGCTTGCCCAAGGCACTAGTGAGGGTTGTGTACCTCCAGCATATGTTATGGCATCAACCTGCTGCCACTGCTGCTACAGTATATATATTCTGCCGAGTGAGTGTGTGGGACTGATATGTGCTAACAAGCCCAGGTGAGTATGGCTGGCCTCACCTCCTAATGTGCTAATACATGCAGTGCTTTGACAAACCGCTGTCTATGTTAATATATGCGCCTTCACCTTCCTGTCACAAGGTGAGGTAGAGAGGGCAGGTAAACAACACACTGCAGCTGCAGGCTTGATGTGTACAGCCTAGTTCTTGTGTGTGCATTTTGATGTATGTGTGTAAGTGTGTTTGTTTCTCAAACTGACACCCTACTCTTCTGAATCTGACTTGTCAAAGAGCAGATGCCCCTTATTCCATTTTTTAGTGTTAAATTAGCTAACAGATGGTAAGTGATAGTCTGTCTGGGTAAATGTCGTAGGTTAATGAAATAGTGCATATCAATCTTGTTTTATTACCATTAAAATAAAAAAGGAATACCTCTCACCAAAATGCTGAAATCTATTGAACTATGTTTTAACCTGTCTTTTATAAAAACACACTATGTAGTTCCAAAATAAACCCAAACAATTCCTTAGATTTATGTAGTGCCTTAAATAATAATCAATGATGAAAGTGATTTAAGGGTTTCTATTGAACCTACCTGCAACTGTCACAATTACATTACATTGAAATGGGTACAGTACCAAGATCTAGCACTAACCTGTCTCGGCTCCGCCGTGAAGGGAAAGCAGCGTTGCAGCCAGTGACAGTGCACACATGCATCTCTTTGAGGTGCACATTCTTGTAGTGCAGTTTCATGCTGTAGGAACTCTTGAAGGTCTTCTTACACACATAGCAGATCTTGGGGTCAGGACTTGAGCATGGGTCTTCCTCTGGTGATTGAGACGAAGGGAATTTGGGTGGGCTGGCACCGTAGCCCATGGAAGAGATGAAGCTCTCATGCAGAGCGGCCATGCTTGCAGCAGCAGCAGCCGCTGCCATGCCTCCGTTATAGAGGCCGTACTGGCCCATGCAGAACATGTCGTATGTAGGATCGTTGAGTTCTTCCTTGATCCTGATAGGGGGCTGAGGAGGTGAGGGTGAGGAATGACCCTTGCTTTCCATTTCCTTTCTCAATTGGGCTTCCTCACTGCCCTCATCATCGTGATCCTTCTCCAGACACCGTCCACCCCTGCTTTGCTTTTGCTGGTCCTCCACGTCTATCGGATCATCACGATAGAACATTTTAGAATCAGAGGTTTCAGATTCGTTCTCAAAGTCTCTTTCATGGTCTTGGTCCTCAGAGGTGAAGCTGCCCATACAACGTAGCTCGCCCTGAAGATCATTTCCACCCCTGCTGTCACTACCTGTACCTTCCCGGCATTCGTCTTCACTCTGTTTCATCATGCCTCTCAGGCCGGGGCTCATCTCATCTTGGGAAGGAGATTGTTGCCCACTACCACCACTGTGGTTCCCAGTACCACTACCACTGTTATTGTTGCTATTACAGTTACCATTCATTTTGACATTGTTGTGAAGAAGGGATGAATGATGGTGGTGATTATGGTGGATGTCATCGTCATCATCATCATCTTTATCATCATAGTCATCCGCCACATCGATCACTTCTTTCTCAATCTTTACTGGCATGCTCGATTTACGAGGCTTCTTTTTGGGTGTTGGGTCACTGCTACTAGTGGTGAGGTCATGATTGGCATGGTGTATATTAAAACGATGGGACAGGGATCCTGCATCTGACATATGAACATTATTGTGTGAAGCCGCTGCTGCAGCAACAGCCAGCAGATGCTGTTGTTGGTCCATCAGAGTGGTACTGTTGGTGGTTATAGGTAGGATTGGGCTGGTCGGCAGTGACACTGGAGGACTGACAAGGTCCGCAGGGGAAAGTAGTGTGCGATAGAATGGGGGCACTGGCTGGACAGGATGAACTGACTTCAGGGAAGGGAAGACCAGTGGGCTGTGCAGGGGTGACTGAAGCATAGTGTCTACAGGTGGAGTAGTGAAACCCAGTGGTGGCCTTCCAGGGCTGGTAAGTGAGAAGCCACCATTCTTGGTGCTTGAGATGACAGGTGTACCAGAGGTTGAGCGGATGAGGTCCTTGTCACGGTTGTTGCGCAGCATTGGCATGTGCAGCCGTGGATTGGGATTGGCACTGTGTCTGTTGCGGCTGCGTAAGGAGCTGAAGACCATATTGCAACCTTCAATGGTGCAACGGTGTTTGATCTTCAGGTGCACAGCATTATAATGTATCTTAAGGGTGCCTTTGTCATAAAAGGTCTTACCACAAGAATTGCAACAGACACGTCCCTTGCGTGAAGTTGATCCCATGCGCCGCATGCGATGCATCTTGGAAGAAAAGGAGCCATGGGTGATGGATCTTGACTGCTCATCCTTTATAAAGCGGTGGTGGACCTGGTGGTCATTCAAACTGTTGTTTTGCTGAGGTTGATTTTGGGACTGCTGTTGGCCATGCTGCTGCTGTTGGTGCTGTGACGGCTGTTGTTGAGCGTGATGCGTGGAAGGGGTCGGTGAGATGGGTGATGCCCTGTTACTGGGCTCTGTCTTGGGTTCAATGTTGTTAATGCCTCCAAGGGCTCCACGGCTAGGGCTCTGGCCTGAGCGGAAGGGTGAAAGGGACACTTCTGAGTCACTGGTCTCCACCTGTTCAACTTGGTTTGGCAAGCTGGGCTCCCGGAGCCGGAGAGCCGACTGCTCCATAGGGTGGCCATTAGGGGGCAAGCCGAGCATGGGTGCAGAGACTGGGTTGATGTATTGGAAGGGCAGGAGGAAGGCTAAGCTGTTGGGGATATTCTCAAAATGGTGAATGCTTGTTGGGCTACTGCTATCCAGTTGTGTAACGATCCCTGGACTGCGGGATCTGTTGTTGCTTTCAATGAACGTCCTAATACCAGAGTCTGTCTTGGAGGAGGGAACTGTAACTGCCTGACCTTCCTTCTCCTGAATGGCCATCAGCTCCACTATGGATTTGGTCTCACCAAAGCGCAGAAACTGCTGCAGGGTAATGATCTCCTCTTCTCGGGACATGATGGACCAGCGGTCCAGCACCTTGCCTGCAGCATCCTAGATGCCCCAGAAGAGACAAGAGAGAAGACAAAAATACAAACCATTATTGATTGTGCATAATCAGTGCGGTCAAAGGAGAAGATGGAGCAGGGGTTAGTTTGTAAGGGCGAGCTTTTTTGCTCATGAAATTCAGAGGCTCCTCGAGCAACCAGTAACTTGCAGAGCTATGTCGAAAATAATTAATTTTTTCTTCAAATCAATCCTGTGAATGTGATCATTAATTACACAGCAAATACAGTAGGCAAGAGTTTAATAGAGTCTAAAGCAAACAAATCAAATGCACTGAGGTTCGGTGATTAGCAGGTCTCTGCGCCTTCTAACATTGTGGGGATGTGAAGCTGTGAGACTGTCAAAAACAGCTTTGTAAAAGATGTGAACTCTTGCTGGGACTCCCTCTGTACACAAAGTGTTCCTTGGGATATTTACAAAATTGTGTGAGCAAGAAAGTAAATGGAAAAAATAATAGTATAATTAATGCAAGCCACTAATCACACCGTCGTTGGCAATCATTTTTCAAATTGTATAAGGCAGTGAAATGCTTGAGTGAAGATGGGACTTCTACACTAAATTACATGAAATGGCTTTGGACATTCATAGAGAACATTTTTATTGTGGTAAAGCTACATAGTTTTAGTCTAAGAATGACTGAGCCAGTTATTTATCCCGTTTGTATGAACCCACATCTCTTCCTGTTTTTAACCACTGATGACAGAACATTACAAAATGATCTCTTACAGTAACTGCTGCCACTGCTGTTTTTTTTTACGAGATGGTATAATATAAGTGTTTGTGTGGAAGAGCGAGGCAATGGGACATTGTGTAAATACTTCACACACAGGTTCCTGAGGGATCTTGCGCAAGTGACATCAAGGGAATAACGCAAGCGATGACAATTAGTCACAGTGAAATGGTAACATTTCAAATGTGCTCCTAGCTGCTGGCATCTATAAAAGATAAATGGCAACTCTGGTGAGTAAAAAGCTGTAAAAACCAACATCACAAAGCACAAAGGGCCTGTAAGGAGAAAACAGAAGATAAATGTTTAAAGAGAGGCAGCGAAAGAGAGATAGTACGGGAGAGACACAAAGTAAGAAGAGCAGAGAAAATAAAAGTGTGAGTGGTTTCATATCATGCCCTCAGATATACTGGAGAAATAGATTCTTCTGAGACGAAACATCAATAGTCACTGGGGTATTTGTTGTTAAATATACATTAAAAAACATTTTACACTTTCATTCTGTGTGCGCTCTGGAGTTTTTTTGCCTGGAGGTATGACTTTAAATTCTAGCCTGGGCACCATTATTTCATACTGCATGGCCATCTGGGCATTAGTACTTCCATTTGATTTAATTGGAAGAAAAAAAATGAAAGCAGCTTAGAAAGTGAATCTTTAAATAGTTCCACAACCAGAACATTTCTTAAGAAATTGTAGTTCTTAGATGTGGAGCAGTCATGTAATAATGACAAAAAAAGCTCAAGTAGCCTAAAATTACAGCAATGATTAGAAGCATGAACAATTCTGAATGAATGTAATTGTATTATCTTAATGTGTGCCTTTTATATAATAAGCAATACATAGCAATATAGATGACTTGTATTTGGGATTATTGGTAGGCCACATTTAAGTAAATTAAAGCCATTTTAAAACATCTTAATATCCATTTCCTAACTACCTCACTTTGTTGATGCAGTTCTAATTGAGATTTTTCATATTAACAAAAAAAAGGATGACATGTAATAATTGTTCCATTATGAATGCTAAAGATCTAGTCTTACCCTGTGCCTCCACTTCCCTACTCATGAAGTCCAACTAAATCCAAAACACAGTGGCACAGGCCAAACTGCCTGCCATTAGTGTTAGGAAGGTCCCGCCAGCTGTCAGAACAGGTCAGCATTTCGGCTATGCACCCGACTTTGTCTAAGAGGAGGCTATCCAAGCACTCCTTGTTCACTGCTCAATTGAGTTTTGAAGGCCAGTCAACAAGAGTTAGGGTCGCGCTTGGAGCACAAAGTCAACACAAATGAAAAAATACTCCACAAACACATGTGAAGGGTACAACTTTGTAAAAGCTCAGTCCATGTAAAAAACAACCTCAGTTTCTTTAACCCATGCAATACTTCATATATAGCAACTATGTATAGAAATATATCACTTTCTATGCATGTTTTGTAATTTAACAAGTTTCTACAGTATGTGTTGACACACTTTTGCAGACAAACACCCTGTAGTCCTTACTACAGTAACTCCACTCCCCTGCATTAGCCCTGTGATGCTGTGAGAGAAACAAATATGCCATTAGAAGCACTTTTACAAGTAGGCACTCATCTTCCAATTAGCTTAATGTGGCCCTCTTTCCCCTATATTTTCCAGGCGTGCCCCACCTCTTCTTGTACACTCCCTTCAGTAAAATCTCATTAATCCACCCCTCCCCCATCTCCCCCAGTGCTATGACATATTAGTCTGTCATTATGCATCCAAGAGTCCTTTAAACAATACAGCTAAACCTCTGTTTGCCAGGTTAATGACTATTAGCCAATAATTACAGCAGAGAGACGATGGAGTACCCACTTTATCTGGTGGACAGCTTGCTGCTGTTAGTTTATTTTATCTTCTTGCATCCATGTCTCTCAGAATTAATCTAGCAACGGCTGTATTTATTCATCTCTCGGCCGCTGCTATGCATTCTTAATTCATGGTCGTCTCTAACAGTGCTGCTGGATGTTGTGAAGTGGGTGTGTAGTGGGGTATCCACCTTGCAAATTGCTGACAATGAGGATGAGCAAATGATGGCCTTGTCATGGGCCAGGGCACCACTGTCAGTTAAAACAAATCAGGCAATTATGCAATTAGAAGGTTATGTGCTGGGCTGTATTAAGAGCCGGGGTGTGCAGCGTTGTTAGGTTGCTTGGTGTGCATTAGGGATTAACAGCTTAACATGTATATGCTTTTCACTAATCATCACCTATCATACTCAATGAATGAGTGTATTTGGAAAGCAGTGGAGAGAGATGCCGTGCTTGGCACTTAAAAAAGGGAAAATGTTGGCTATAAATACGTCTTACTGACCTGTGATTATACAGTAGATCAAGTGAGATATCTAACCTTAATAGAGCTTGTGTGATATAATGTCTCTGATATTTACATATTCATGGTAACATATGCACAATCTGTGTAGGATGTTGACACACTGGTTCAACATCAACATGATGGCACCTGAACTGTCATAAGACAGTATCACTTGCAGAAGGATGGATCCGTTCTCACAATGGCAAAGTGAACCATGGGAACCACATTGATTCACCAATCACCTTTCAGAGAATGCGATCTCCACCAAGCCTCGAGGGAATCCCCATTGATCCCCAGTCCGGCTTTCAGATCCAGTTCCTTAAAAAAAACTGCTCTATCCCTGTGTTCGCCACTTCAAGGGAGGTTAAGCAGAAGTTCCTTGTGATCTGAGAAGGTCTTGAACTTTGGTGCTTCCTTTTCCATATTCTGTTTCTCTCCCCACCCCACGTCGGGCTTTATGAATAATGCAGAGCATCTAGTGGCGAGGGGTGCCATGGGGGATGGGTTCACGCAAAGCCCACTGCCTGGAGCCATCACATCAGAGGGCAACAGCTCCCAAGACACAGGCTGCTCTCCCATTGGCTCCCCAGCGGCGGGTCAGAGGTCATGTGTGAACAACTAGCTCTACTTCTTCCCCTGTGATGGACCACAGGGAAATCAGTGGCTTCGTCCAGATGTGGGTGGAGGACATTTGTAAGAATCATAGAGGTTGAAATGTACACTCTGTGATCACGTTAAATTCCTCTTTTATGCCCTGCACATCAAAAGCATTCTTTTCTTTTAGATGTGACCTTGTGTACCCACCTTAGAGGCTTTATGTTGTCTAAACTGTGGACACATTGACTTATATGGTGTATGTATAGCAAGATGAACATTTACTGTTCATTGGCTTTCTGCTGACGTACAAGAAGACATTCATATATAATTAACATGTCATCCTATCATCAAAGACAGAGTGGATTCCCTTTGGAAAGATGTGTTGAATTATGTCACATTGTGGTTGCTAATTACAGGGACAGGCATTCACAAAGGAAGCCACCACTTAATAAACTTAACCTGTATTAAACTTTACAAAAACGTTTTTTGTAAAGAATAGAATACTAATGTCATCTTGAATGTCTTTGCAGGCCGGCCTTGATCCCTTTCTGAATGTCGTCTGCTTTTAATATTTGACCATTTGCAGTTACAATTTGTTCCGGAAATGAGATACATCAGATCACAGCTAGACAGCAACCTCTGGTCAAACTCATATTCCTGAATAAAACCGTTCTGTTTAACTTCTATTATTTATTAACATTTCATGACTTGTTGGCAAAGGACATTGTCTTGGTCAATGTTATGCTCATTACCGCCAGAAAGAAGTGTTTCCTGGACTCTGGTGTGAGTAAATGTGAAGAGGCCACAGGGTTTATTTCACTGAGCCAGACACTGATCAACCAACAGCTAGATATCCTGTCCCTCTCTACCTGATTTAACTCATGGCTTTGGTTAACTTTTCATGACTCTGTGTTAGTTGTTGCTAGGGGCATAGTAATCGACTGGAGTGAGATTTATAGTGCAGTTGCAGACTGTGAGGATCAGGAGGGGGATTGGGGGGGGGGGGGGGGGGGGGCGGGGAGTTATTATAGAGGACTTTACCACGGGTGAGTCACAATCTGGCACATCCCTGGTTCCAGGTGGGCTTTGGTAAACAGTTTCTGTTTCTTTTTCCCACTGACTTCCCGTCTTTTTTCATTATCTGTTTCTGAAAACAAACCCGTCATTTGAAATAAAAAGAAAGCTCTTCTAACCTCTGATTGATCCAACCCCCCTGACCTCCACCGCCATCATCCCAACCCCTTTTTAGTTTTAAAGCTGTCCCTCGACATCTTTAAAAAGTGAAGAGGACAGTCCTTTGGCCACAGCCCAGCAGAAGAGCAGATGGGGCGGCACATGGAAGCCATTTCAGGCCTCGGTTCGCTTGCAGAGCAAAGTTGGCTGTTCTCTGAGTTCAGAACCTCTGAAGGGCCGCCTCGCAGCTCTCACATGTGAGCAGCGTCTGGGTCTGGCCTGATGTATCGATTCCCTGTCTCTTTTCCTCAAAGCATACACAATATCGTTGGCTGGCCTCACCCAACTGTGCTAAGGAACCGTGGCCGTGGTCAATGTGTAAAACTCAGCGGACCTAGCACTGAGCTGGAGGGGATGCCTCAGAGAAGAGGGGTGGGGTGGTAGCAGCAGCGAGGGAACGCCTGATGGTTCACATTAATTGAGGATGATTCGTGTGATCTGCTGGATCTGGATGCAGCAGCCAGGTCTGTCGTGGGCCTGGGAGACAGATGTGGGGGCCGCTGTGCCCCCTCCAGGGCCAATGGAGAGCAGTGAGGCGGCTGAGAAACGGTGTGTGTGTGTGTGTGTGTGTGTGTGTGTGTGTGTGTGTGTGTGTGTGTGTGTGTGTGTGTGTGTGTGTGTGTGTGTGTGTGTGTGTGTGTGTGTGTGTGTGTGTGTGTGTGTGTGTGTGTGTGTGTGTGTGTGTGTGTGTGTGTGTGTGTGTGTGTGTGTGTGTGTTGGAAGAGATATTGAGGGGGTGTAGCTGACAACCTGCTTTTTCGTTCTCTCTTATATCACATCTCCTTTTGTCTTGATTACTATTCTGGCAGGACGCCGGTGCATTAACATATGCTCACAATTTGCTCTTTGGCAACATATAGGTACATGTTTGTAGTGTGTCTTAATGTATCAGTCATTTCTCTACCTCTTTTGTGTAACACCCGCCCCTTATCACATTATAGGCTAGTAATGGGTAGCAAAACACGGGGCTGGTAAGTAACAGAGCTTTAAAAATGTGAAACCTAAAACCTGATAAAAGCATAACTGTGGATTTATTGCTTTACATAAGGGGGTCTCAGCTCATAAAACCTATATGTGAAACATTATTTCTGACTTTAATGTCTTACATAATTGCAACACCAAATAAAAAGAAAATAAACCTTTTTTCAAGAATGTACTACCTGGAACATAGCATTGATCTCCACACAATCAAAGTAATCCACACATAATTTTCACGTCACTGTGTAAAAGGAAATAGATGTGAATGGATAATGGATTGTACCTCCTAAGTCATTTTGTTTTGGTCTGGCGGGGAACAGATAGAGGTGTCTGTAACACGCAGACACACTGCATTAGGGGAGCTTTTCAGTTTTCTCCTGTGCTTTTGCTATGGAGCATGCAGGAGGAAAGAGAATAAGCTAATGGACTCTTTACTTAATGTGATCAGAGCCATTATTGACATGCTGCCAGGAAGATGCAAGACCATTAACTCAAGCCTCTCTCTCTGGTACCTTCCCTCCAGCCCGCTACTTTCCCCGACAGTATTTCACTGCCAGCCTCACTCACATACAGAGGAAGGGCCACTAGGGGGTCTGGGTGCCCCAAAGGAGTCTGTGTCTGTCATGTTAACTAGGAATCTGTGATACAGACTGTTTGGCAAATTGGCAAAACAATATGTTTCACAGGACTCTGTATTTGTATGTGTGGTGTTAGCTTAGAAATAACGGGAAGATATCAGTGACTGTTGCAAAAGGGCTCCAAGTGTTATGCAGTGTGTCCTGATGGTGCTGTTGGCTCAGCAGCCTAACATGCAAATTCAACATCTTTGGTTTTAAATCAGCCTGTATTACTCCATCACAAGCGATCACTTCCATGTTTCTTGTTACTTTGAACTGTTTAATGAAGCAGAACCTGCACCTCATATTTCAATATTTTAAGTAAAGCTAGTGGCATGTTTAAGAAAAAAGGAATCTTTAAAAAACAAATGTTTGGTTAGTTCTGTACAGAGGCATATACGGACTCAAGAGAAAATATATATATAAATAGCTGACTGCTGATTTAGTAAAAAAAAAGAAGTCATTATCAGCTGTAGTTTAATTAAATAATATGCAAATTATCAGAGCGTTTTAAATAAAGGTTATGGGCTTAAATTGTTTCTTACTGATATTTAATGGTGAACAACACTGACCACAATACTACTTAAGGCAAGGGCTTTTCAAAGTGTATTTCTGTAGGTGTATTTTTACTCAAAGTAAAATAGTGCCAAATAAAATACCCTGTTTTTAAACTTCCTCACTGGAATGGTTGCCTCGCATGTAAATTGGCTCATTCATCTTGGCGAGGGGGTGCCAGTGTGGCTACAGTGTAATTTACACTGCCCCAACCTATGTGCCAGAACACATCTCTCCATGTGGCCCAGGGACTCACATCGGCAGCGGCCCGGAGGATGTTTGTGTTTATGTGTGATAGTGTATGTGTGTGTCTGCGATCTTGTGGGTACAACAGGAAGTGGTGCTCAGGTCTCTCGGGGTTCCAGGTCCCTGGGCCTGTCTACTGTCATAAGTTCCAGAATGGTGATTACTTACTGCAAAAATAAACACCATTACCATCTGGTGCTGCCTTTTTTTGTACTGTAACTTATACACCAAGAAAAGCTCTAGACCATCAAAACACGCAGAATCGAGAACAATAACAGAAAGAAATCTGCATCGTGAAATTTGAATGCATTTTTTCGTTTCTCCCTGTTCATGTTTGCGAGCATTGGCCGTTTTTTAAGAATTCCTCGCATTTGACGTTTTAAGAATGGAATCAGTCATTTTTTTTTTAAAAAGTCGGTGAAAGAAAGAACTTTTGATCTATATGAGGGGGCAGATAGTGAAGAACAAAAGGTTTACAGGAACGCATGGTGAGAAAGTTTGGATGATGGGGGTCATTCAAGACCGTTGAGGCCTTGCAGAGCCAGCAGATGTTTGATCCATCCACGGCACATCTGGTCCTCAACACACTCAATCCATTTCACTCGACTTCTCCTTTTTAGACTTTCATTGTTCCTCATGGTCCACTAAACTCCACATTCCCCTTTACGGCCCACAAATATTCATTCACAATCATTTATACAGGCCACTTATTAGTAATTAACATATAGGGTTTTATTTTTCTGTGTGTGATTCGTAATTTAGTTTTTTTTAAATGTATAGCTTATCCCTTCTTCAAATGGGTTATATATGGTGACTCTCAGCAAGAAACTCCTAACCCAGTGGCACTAGCCAGGGGAATGAAAGCTGTCATCCTCATTGTAGTGGGCCCTGGGAGGGTCATACGGTGCTTAACAGTTTCATTGTTTCTTTTATTGTTGGAAACACAGAGGGGTGTGTACTGCGCAGGTTTCTGTATGCTGGAGTGCGACGTGACGAGAGGACTGTCAACTCCCTGTAACTCTCCATGCAACTTCCTTTAATAAATGTCAACTCTGTGACCCAGCGGCAAATCCCTGGCAGGCTGGGTGGCCGTGTCAGCAGGCCGGTGGGCCGCACAATGTCTGCGCTTGGCCTCGGTGACATGAGGGAAGTGGAGCGCACCGCTGTTCTGTTTGTTCAGAGAAGGGATGTACGGCCACCTGGAGGCTCTGGTCCAGGATCAGCAGACAAAAACATAACCTGCGTGTGTGTCTTACAGACAGATCGCATGTTTGTGTTTTAGGTTATTTGCAAATTGAATGCGTTCGCGCTGCACTAACATTACTGTACGCTTGTCCTGACTCAAGCCCATGTGTAATGCAATCTTCCGTTGTTTGGGTCTGGTCTGGTAGTGCTGTGCAGTGCAATCCTATTGATCCCTATAGCCTTGTGGTCTGCAGGGTTCCTGTCAGTAAACCCGATGAGCCGGAGCACCTTCCACCCCCCCACCCCCACCGTCTCTCTGCCCCCCCGTAGCACTACAAGCTAAACAGCCATCACAGAAACTCAATACAGGCAGACCGGGCCCTCGTCATCAGCTCGCTGCCGGGCCCTACAACGTCCCGCGAGGCCAAGGCTAAGTCAATTTAGTGTCAGTGTAGCATCTCACCTCGTAGAGCTGTTGCCAGCCTAATATGTCGCACTAATATGTCTCTCCATATGAATTACAAGGCTGTGAGAGGAACCCAGATGCAATAAGTATGGATTAGATAATGTTCAGGTTCTGTCTGAGTCTTGTTGGGAGCTAACGATAGTAATAGCCTTTAACAGGGTGTCTGGCTGTGGCTTGGAGGTGAGACGGGGGCATACAGGCTTCTGGGATTTCTAAGGAGCTCTGGGAAATAAACTTCCCTCTCTGCCGCAGAAGAAAAGGGGAAGGGGTGGACGAGATAGCATTGAAAGAATGATTAGTGGAGATGGAAAGTGCGATGGGTTGGTAATGCTATTTTTCTGACTATTGATCAACCTGGAGGGCTTGAGATGTATGGGTTAAAGGTCCTGATGCCCTTACCTTGTCTGCTGTTTGTCTGTGTGTTAATGTGTTAACCCATTGATTTGTATTGTACTCATATAGTTGCCCTGTGTGTAGGCCAACCGCCTGACAGAGGAAGAGTGGGATGTTAGCAGAGCTTGGAAAGAGAAGAAAACAAAAAGGTGAGAGAAGAGGTGAGCGTGTGGTCAAACGGGGGCGTAATTAGGAACCTTGTTACTGCTAAACTCTATATATTGATCGGGGATAATTCACACGCACCATATATTTTCCCCAGCCAATGTGCTTAGGTGCTTTAAAAATTCATGTTGCATTATAACTCTTGTAGATTGCTACCCAATACCCATTTACATGTATCAAGTTTTCCCTCCTCCGATGTCTGAGTGAGCTAGCATTGAAAACAAGTTTGATTGACAGTTAATAATTGGGAATGCTAGGAAACTTCGTATCCCATTCATTATCCTGTCTGTGTTGTTTTTTTAAAGGCACTTAATTTTCCTTTTTATAGAAAAATCGGAAAATAAGAGCACCAGAGGAGCAGTGTTTTTTGTAGTTCGGTTTTTTGTACAATAACATTTTTGGAATGGGGTCTTGGCTTCTAGTTGACATACTGTCTGATTGAAATTTATGTTTTTTCCCCAAATGCTAGGCTTTGGGCCTACCAAAAAGATATATTATATGTTTTAGATGTAATGGTTGTCAATTTTGTAATATTATTATTATTTTTAAAAAGAAACTGCCGCCTTTTTTAACCACACGATGTGCAATATAAGTATTTGTAAACACCGACTACAAAGCACAAAATACATATTTTTTTCTTATAAATGAACACACTTCTACACACACACACACACAAGCCATATTTGCCATTGGCAATCCCTGCAGGCAGATGTGGAGTGTGTGCCAACGGCCTGCTGAGTGAGTAGGCCAGTGTGCCCCTAGCTCAGTGCTGGGCACTACGCTGAGCTGCTTTGATGTGTGTGTGTGTGTGTGTGTGTGTGTGTGTGTGTGTGTGTGTGTGTGTGTGTGTGTGTGTGTGTGTGTGTGTGTGTGTGTGTGTGTGTGTGTGTGTGTGTGTGTGTGTGTGTGTGTGTGTGTGTGTGTGTGTGTGTGTGTGTGTGTGTGTGTGTGTGTGTGTGTGTGTGTGTGTGTGTGTGTGTGTGTGTGTGTGTGTGTGTGTGTGTGTGTGTGTGTGTGTACACTGCAAGGGGAGGTCAGTGAAACAGCAGAGGGACTGTGTAATCCTCTGACATGCCTGTGGAAAAATACAAGGATCCCTCTGACAGTGGCTGAACTAAATGCTCAGAGGACCAGTTAGTGTGTCCGCAGGTTCATGCGCACTGACTGGCTGCATGGAGATACAGACACATAAACACACACCACACACACAAGTCATGCGCTGACACACGTCTAGACACAATTAAGATGAATTGCTTTGTTCCTAGTCAGTCTCCTCAGTGAGCTTTCTGGCTTGGTGACACTAATTCTTAGAAGGCTATGTCACTGGCAAGACTGTACTGTAGCCATGTAAGGTGCAGTCCTCTACTGAGATGGTAAGCTGTATTGCTTTAGGCCCTACTCATAGAGCAACACACACAAATGCATTAACACACACACAAGTTCAGTTTTTCTGTTGGAATGCACGAGGACAGGCGAAGAGTTTTGGCTCTGCCCTCTCTATACTTTGCATAATTACATCTTACATTTCCTTAAGTCTGAAGGGATGTTGAATCCTAAACCGTGATGGGAACCGGGTCTGTTGGTCATTAGATTTTGGCAGAGTAACCTGCTGCCACATGTGAGAGGTAGCAGCACAAAATGCGTGTGTGTATGTCTGTGCATGTGTGTGTAAATGTCTTCATCTCTGCAGTATGTGGCCTCTTGAGAAGAAAAAGACTGGGCATATAAAAGGACATTAAGCATATGAATTAGCCACGGGTCTAATGTGAGCTCTGTGAAACAATAAGCAACCAAACAATAGTAGACATTTCATCTTCTTATTGTCTAATCGCCCATCTGACTGCCTGTGTATTTCCCCTCTTAACCCTTGAGATACTCGCTAATGGCCCTCACAATGGAATTATTTACTACCCATGGCAGGGGGGCAAATGGGTCAAACTGTGTGTGTGCGTGCCTGTGTTTGTGAGTGTGTGCACTTGTGCCCTTGTAGTCAGAGTGAATGAAAGGGAATGATGGAGTCATTGAAGCACGCAGTGACTGAGAGAAGAGGAGAAAGGAGAGGGGGACTGAAGGAGGTGGACTGAGTGGTGCTTGCTAAAGTGAAAAATCATGCCATGGTGCATAGGGGCCCGGTTTTGTCCACTGGGAGAAGTGACTACATCTACGCTGGCACTCAAGTGCTCTTAAATACTCCTTTTCAGCTCTCCATCCCCTCCCCTGCCTCCCTCTATCTATACCCCCCTCTCTTCGTCCCTCTCTTTCTTTATTCCCCAGTTCATCCCAGGTCCAGTTCAGGTACAAATGGCTATTTGCTGTACAACTCCCATAACATGTTTGCGCTTGTCCCTAACAGCATGTCAAACAAAAAAAAGAAAACGGGTGCTTTCTTCATTCACAAATGGCTCCCCAGAACACAAAAGCCTTCTGAATAAAGATTTCAAAGTGCAGTTAGAAATGTCTGCGCTGGAAGACGTCGCACAGCTTCTCTGTCAATAGGCTTTAATTCACCGTGGATCTGAAAAGTCATTGTGGGAGTCTTTGTGTGTGTGTGTGTGTGTGTGTGTGTGTGTGTGTGTGAAGCGATTTAATCTACAACCTAAGCGCCTAACCACAAGAGGTCAATCCTCATTAAAATATAAAGGAATTACATTATTGTTATAGTTTTTTCTGTCTGATCCTATTTAAATATCTCATTAGGAATTGTTATTACTCTGTCTGTAATATAATAGTAGTACCCCTTATTTTAAGTGAGTGACAAGGTGGAGAAAAAATGAAATGATCAATTCACAGTTTCATCTCCTGTTCAGCCCTAATTGTGTCATGTTGAGACAAAACGCTCACTTCTTGAATTAGCGCGGCTAAATCAAGAGGTGCGCACTACGGAGATGAAGGCTGTCTGTGTAAAAGGGATCAACAGTGCTGCTAACTGCCACCTGCTGGGGTTAACCCTGCGGTTGCCAACACGTTCACAACGCAGATGAAACACAATAGCAGATGAGTCTTTCTCACACCTCCAGTTACAGAAGCCTGGCTGTCAGTTGCGCAGAAGCGCGCGCGCGTGTGTGTGTGTTTGTACAATAGTGCATGCATCGTAGACATATTTCCCCCCTCTAATTAGCACAAGGGAGTCCTGGGGGCAATCAGAGACGAGGTTAATGAGAGGGGGAAAGAGCGGAAGAGACGAGGTAGGGGTGCGGTAAGTAACGCGCACCATGCTGCACTGGTGCTACAATATAATACACCCGTCTTATCACGCTGTCACCCTGAAGGGGCATCATCCTCACGGCGCCCACATTGATGTTTGGGCCTGTGACACATCACATGTGTGTGTGTGCACGAAAGCGGCGGAGTGAGAGTTCCTCTCTGTGCGCCCTGATGATCCTTTCACCCATCCTTGTCTCATATTATCACTCCCTTCACGTCTCTTTCTCCCTGGAAGGCCCAGATGTGACAGCATGTTTCCCATATCACAGAGAATTGGTACACTGGGAGGAAAAAAAGTGAGCAAGACAGCGCTGCCACAGTGGTCTTGGCATCTGTCTGCTCTCAATTGGTGTGCGGCGGTGCTGCTGGGAGAAAAGCTAAGACTAGCAGATGTCATTGCCCAGGCAGCGTTAGCAACGACTCGTACAGTGAGGCAGTAGCACCGAGACAATCATCCTTTCAGAGGGATTGACTTGAGTGTATGATGATTTCAAAGTACAAAATAAAATGGATTAGATGTTTTGTGAACATCCACTAGTTGTATTGTTTCTTTGTCAGATTGTGGCATGGATTACAGTTCTGTGGTGCTCCACAAACTCCTGCAACACATGCGCTCCACATGGACACACTGGAACTGTGGCATGTTGTTTAGAAGACGGCTCAATTTGTAATATTATTTTAGTTGTCTTTTATTTATCCAAGGCTTTCTTTGTTTCTGTGCAAGTTTCATTTCAGTTATCATCCCTGTGGAAATACAGCATTATGGCCATGTTCTTTAAAAAGGGATTATTTTGTCGGGCTGCAGTCTATTTAAAAGTCAAAACAAAGACAGAAAACGCTGGGAGCGAAAGAGTTGTACAAACTGAATGTTTTGATGTGATTATTAACTACAGTGCCACCAGGGCGCCCAAGAAAATACATGTTTTCTTACTTATTTGTTTTTTTACTCATGTTATTAAAACATAATATTAGATTACACAGTCTTTAAAATTAAATTAGGGTTATTTAGAATTTTCTTTTTATAAATCAAGACTGATGATATCAATGTTCTTTTTTTCTTTAGAGTAGAGTAGATGTAACCTCAAAATTGCAAATCCAATCCTAGAATTGGTGAATCATTAAACCACAATTGATCTTTGTCTACAGCCTCTCTCTGCAGTCCAAAACTGTCTTCAACTGCTAAACTACTGAGGTAGCCAATCGTCTTTCCTCATTGTGTGCTTTCAGTATTATATTCCAGTCTCTTGGTCTAGGCTTCTCTCTCTCTCTCTCTCTCTCTCCCCCTCTCTCTCTCTCTCTCCCGCTCACTCTCTCTCTCTCTGTCTTGGTGACCTACTGTGAGTGGAGAGGGAATGGTGGCTCATGTGGCTGTCACTCCAAACATGATGTGATGGCAAGGAGGGACAGAGAAAAGAGGTTCCTGCATTATTAAAAAGAGTGCTGCCATTAGAGACATTTATACAGTAGAATGACCCGATCAAACTCTAGCACAGATACACACACACCACTGTGAACACAGATGCACACACACACACTCAGCCTAATAGCCTCGGCTATACAAAACATTTTTCCAGGAAGAAAGGACAGGGATTGTAGTTAATGTTGGTAATTTTCTTTCCGTACTGTTTTTCCAGGTTTTGCTGATTACATTTTTTTCGACTTGTATTACAGCTCCCCCTTCATTTTGTCTTATCCCTGCCAAAACAGGACTTCAGTGTCACATTCATTCAAACAAAAATATTGCTTAAAGATTAAAGGCTACAGATGTA